TTGCTCAGCTCAAGGGGAGGCTCAGGAGGGGGCATGGCTTGGGGAATCTGAGGTCTCCAGCTCTCTGCAATGGCCAGCAGGCTGGGAGGTGTGCCCTAGCACCTCCCGACTTAGCATGGGCCACTGCAGGGGGCTGGCTGCCTTTCCTGTTTAAAAAGTGAATGTCAGGTCACTTGCTTATTGGTTCAATTTATGCAGTTTAAAAAAAACCTGCAAAGATTTAATTGTTTCAGCCTCAGGCTTTTTGACTGCCTGTACTTAGCCCCTGAGCTCAGATCTTGCCTGCTACTGTCTCTACCTCTAGCTTTATTCAAATCAGTAGTGTTAAACAGTTTAGCTTTAGTAAATGAGGAAAATGTTTTGTTTTGTTTTGTTTTGGTGCCTTATACCTTGTGCAGTTCCATATGCCTGTGCATGGTTGGTATAAAGCACTGCCAAATCACAATTCTTCATCTTTTCAAATCAAGGGTAATATTTTACACAAAGTGTACTGTAGTTGAGAGGGAGGCCCAAGAGTTTTAAGCATGTCATCTTTACTCATCTGGTCATTGCTGCTGCCTGGGGATTAAATACTTGAAGGGCATGTCACTGAAGAACAGCCATCAATAAATGCTGCCTCTATTATTCCTTCTTACTTAGTTGTTAACTTTGACTGCAGGCTTGTTGTATAGTTTTTGTATTTTTATTTAAGAAATTAACTTGCACTAATGCTTTCTGAGCTTTTCCAGTATTTAAGAAAGCTTATTTTTTTAACGCATAATCACTTGTTTTTCCCTGTGGTGTGCTTTGGATTTTCCTGTTCCCTTTCCCGAGTCTTCCCCATATTGCAGAAAGCTAAATTTGTGTCTTTGTCTTCCAAGAATAAACAGAGCAAGACCATTTGTAAAAGCATAAATAGCACAATCAAGGACTTGCAATTATTTTTTTGTAGTCAAGAAATGTATGAAAGCTAAGAGCTGACATTTCTTGACAAGTGCCTTGAGTTTTAAAAGGTTGAAAACCATTGAGTTAGTAAAACATACCTGACACAATCCACTTTATTGATACCCTGATTCGCTATATTGCTGTTAATCATTTATGATTTGTATGATGGGGTTGAATACATGCTTAGCAAATGTTCAGCTGACACCAAATTGGGTGGAACTGCAAACACTCTGGAAAGCAGGGCTAGGGTTCAGAATGACCTGGGTAGACTGGAAGAATGGTCTGCAATCGATGAGATGAGATTCAGCAAGGACAAGTACAAAGTCCTGCACTTGGGATGGAATAACTGCACCCAGAAATACTGGCTAGGGAATAACTGACTTGGCTCAGAATTGTGGAGAAGGACCTGGGAATTACAGTCTCTCTCTAGTGGGTTATGGAATAGAGAAGATCCCACACAACTTACTGATTCATTTGATGCACTGGCTGGGGAAATTTTTAGCTACTTGCACGATTTCACAATGATTGCACACTTAATTCATACAACACAATTTAATTTTAAAATTCTTTGCTACGCATATAACACTGCTTAGCTTTAAGAAATATCACAAACATTAAGAACACAATAACTACATATATCAGAAACAATGCTCCAAATGCACTTCCTTAAAACAATTACAATTACAACTAAAAGTTGAATTGGAATCAATAGTATTATTTTTCATAATATACTTACAATCCTAGAATTCCGAGAAGCCAAACACCTAAATATGGTTTCATTCCTCAGTAGTACAATTTAATGGGTTGGCCTCAGTAGTACGGTTCAATGGGCTGGCCTCAATACTGATAGGACTAAGTCCCCTTCCTTCAGTCCCTTTCGGGTGCTCCGCAGCTTCAGCGTGAACTAAGAGATTCGTGTTCACGGAGAGGGTGGTTCAGGTGATCAGTCTGATCCAGCCTACACTTGCGATTCTTCCTTCGTTGTTCTGCAAGTGAGGTTACCTCCAAATTGGAACAGTAGGTTACAGTTTTTATTGAGTGAGTTGCCGTCTTGGGCCCCTCCTACCCAAACCTGTCACTACTCCCAAATTTGGGCTCGGATCTTACTCAACATATTCCTTTGCTTGGTAATCAGTTTCTTTTGTTGATCATTTAATTACTTTGAGGAATTTCCTTTCTTTCCAATCTTTGAAAAGGCTCCTAGGGTTTGATTTCTTGGAATGTGGGATGTTTGTTTAATGGTCATTTTTATGTTACTTTGTTAAAGGCCTCTAAAGAGGCCTTTAATTCAAAGAGTTAAGATTCTTTGAATTCAAGAGTTTAAAGAATTCAAGAATTCAAGACCCTTTAATTCAAGAGTTAAGACTTTGAGGAAAGTCAGGACCTTCCGCACGTAGACCAAAACAATGGCCTAGATAAGAAGATGAATCTTGTCTTCTTCCTAAACTGGCTAATGGGCGACTATTTACAAACATTCAAATATTACATTCAATATGACACAGTGGACTGTAAGATTAATGAGCCAACAGCGTGCTCTTGTTGCAAAAAAAGACAACAGCATCCTGGGTTATATTGATAAGCATCATTTGGAAGTGGTTCCTCCACTCTATTCAGCACTGATGAGGCTTCGCTTGGAGTACTGGGTCCAGTTTTGGACCCCATATTTCAAAAGGGACATGGACTGTTTGGAAAGAGTCTAGTATGGGGCAACAACAAAAATGGTCAGGAGCCTGAGACATGAGACCTACAAGGAAAGGTGGAAAGAACTAAGGTTATTCAGCCTGAAGAAGAAAAGACTGAGGGGAGATTTGGTAAGTGTCTTCAAATACCTGAAAGGTGATTATACAGAGCATGGAGACAGGCTGTTCTCTGTGGCTGTAGGGAACAGGACTAGAAGCAGTGGTCTCAAGATGCAGCAGGGAAAATTTTAGGTTGGAGATTAGGAGGAACTTTCTTACTATGAGGGTGGTCAGACATTAGAGCAGTCTGCCTAGAGGAGTTGTGGAATCTCCATCCCTGCAGGTTTAGACAGACACTTGGCTGAGACATGGGGGCCTGGTCTTTTCCAGTCCTACTTTTCTGTGGTCCTATGATTTCCACCCCTCCCGCTTTCTTTCTTTTTTTTAACATCCCATTGGCTGGTTTTCAGTGTGTGACAGGGCAGCTTACTAGGCCAATCTAAATAATTTTTCATATAGTGAATGCTTTCTGAATACATTTACATACCATACCCGCTGCATTTTCTTTAATATGATAGTTTGATTGGGGACTTAAAGAAAAAAGGAAGTAAGAAATGTACCAGGTTTGTCCTCTTCTGATTATCTATTACTTACAGATAGAAGCCCACAGTATTTATTGTACCTTTGGCCACAAAATCTGCTATATTATAAACAAATTCAAGGGGAGAAAAATAGTCAATATGAACTTCTTCAACTAAAAGTGCCTTGTGAAACATTTAATCTTACTCCTTTAGACTGAGAATTTCCTGGTTCCATTTCAAACCTAACATTCAAGCACATGTATTCCAGACCCTATTCTGTTAACCTTTTTCCCCCCCTACAAAGAATATTCACTCATGCAAGCACTCCCATAAAAGTCCCATATTCTTATGGGAGTAAAGACTCCCTTGTAAAGGATGCAGGATCAGGCCATCCTTTTAAGGATACGTTTAAAACCGTCTGCAGCAAAAATGACAGTTTTGGCATATGAATCTGACAGGCCAAATCACATAATACAAGTACAGAAAATGAAATAGGAAAGCAAGCTCATGTCTATGAAGCAGCTGTTATTGGTATAAAAGTATTTTATGGAGTAATCTCTTAAAAATAGCAAAAGTAAGTACAAAAAATTTCACATTTGGAAAACTAGTCTAAAATGAGATCCATTCCTGTCCTTGGAATCTCCTTGAGTATAGAAGTGCCTGAAGCAAGCACATTTATGGAATAATTAACTTCTGCACTTCTTAAGCTCAGTCAAATAGAGGAATGGCTCTGCAAGACATCAGGATCCTAGTAATGAAGAAATGTATAGAAGAGCCGTGCTCTAATGGTTATTTATTACCAGATGTTGGGGATAAAGAATGGATGATAAAAACTCCAAGAAAAAAGGAGATTAATTGTGAAGGGATGATTGAGAGCTTCACTTATCTGAATAGGAATCTCATTTATTAAAGCTAAAAGAAGCTTCATCCTCTCAAAAAGGGATTTAATGAAAAGAACATTATACTAGTAACTTCAGCTTCCTTCCCTACAGTGGTCCAAATCACTTACCATTACCTGAGTTATACATTCTGGAATATAGAGGCAGCATCCAAGTTTTCAAAGATGACAATATCTCTTATAAAAAGAGATTTAATGAAGGTTTCTATTACAGGTTATCTATTTTATGTCACAATTAATTTTATTGGTATGAAAATATTTTATTTTTTGACCAGAATATCTGGTCTTAGTCCATACTAGCTATTTAATAAATGTTATTTAATATTATTAGTTAAGTACTTGGAAAGAAACAGGCTGATTGTTTAGAAATTTCTTGGCATCTAACATTGACTAAGAAAGGGACAAGAAAGAGAAAATTTGACTACTGTGTTTTTCCATCTTCTTTTCTAGTATCATCTTTTCTCAGGAATTTTGCCCATAATAGTTTATCGAGTTGAAGCAGAATGACACAGAAGAGTAATTAAAGGATGGCTTATCCATCTGCCTAGCAACTATTATGTTTTGTTGCCTTTATATCTATAGGCTATGTTAGGGGTTGGCAATGTTTTTGGGCAGGGTGCCAAAAACACCCACAACCTCAACTTGTAAGATGTTGGTGTGCCAGTGGCAGACTGTGGGGAAGCTGCTAGGGGCCTGATCCTTGTTGTGGCAGTGCAGCCCCAGCCCTTTCCGCACGGTCTGCCCCAAGGTACATGTGCTAAGCAAAATGCCTTCACATGGTGTGCTCTGGCACAAGTGCAGGGGTTGCCTCCTCGGGGCTACATCAGCATGTTGGATATGTTGGCTGCGAATGCACTAACAGAAGGACTTCCCATTAGGTTCAAAATCCTAACATTTTGTCATCTTTATCTCTTACAGAGTTCTGAAGCTTGTGAAGTGGTAATTCTGGAGCGGTGCTGGATTGTGGAGTTCAGGAATAAAAAAGTTGTTTCAATAATTCTCAGTAAGTAAGATAGAACTCCATGTGTGCATAACATTCATTTTGTGTTCCTATGTCAGTATTTAGAAAAATCATTGAAATTCTGCTGAACATTTTAATCTTGTTGTCCAATACACAAACATCCATCTTGGCATCACTTGTTTTTATCTCAAGTCTAAAAAGAAAATATCAAATGGCTTTTGTTGCCTTTTCTGAAATTGAAAGAAAAGCCATATGTGTTGTAGCTCCTTTGACAACAACATATGGGTTTAATGTTCTGGTTCATTAAAAATAATGTACAATATGGGTCTTGAGTTGGTGCATAACAATTCAATTTTTTTTCATGATCATTTGTTTTTAATCCCAGTCATCTTTCATGAAATGTGGGTTTTATACATTGCCTTTATAATTTTGGCATTTGTATATACTAATTCTCCATTTAGTGGATCCTTTCAAGAACAATAGATAAATATAATTTAGAATAATGTAGCATTTTAAATATAAAGGTTTTCACTTGTAAAAATATATTTTCAGGGTTTTTTATTATAAATATTTAAGTATAAGTTTTTGTCTCTGAAAGAATGGCTTACAGGATTGCTGTCAACCAGCTGCTATTATGGTTGAAATTACTGTGATTCAAAGTTGGGCTGATATTATGACCAACTTTTAAAGTCTCTTATATTAATTTACCATGTTTTGGTAGCTCTTATGGTCCCTACATTCTGAAAGAAAGTTGGCTGAGACCTAACTGGATTGAGGTGTCATGATTCTTTTATTCAGTGCCAAGCAGGTTCTCCCAAAGCATAACCATTTTAAGGTATGCAGTGAAACATAAGTGGTACAGTTGGACTCATTCACAAGCCTTTAACTTGTGGATATTTCAATTTAAATGCTTATATCTGTTTTGTGTCTACTTCAGGGAGTATCGAGGATTTGGCACTTGGTGGATATGTCTTTGGTATGCATCTCACAAACAAAATGACACATTTAGACTTGGTTGACTCTTGGTTCTCAGGAGAAGTATAGGATTAGTTTGGCAGGAGTTTTGCAGCTCAGGATGCTGATGTACTAGCAAAACTATATGCAAAGTAATTTACACTTCATTGACATGTTTAGGATCTGGATATAATTGTTGTTGGTGATTTAAGTTGTTATTGGCAAGCTTGTTATTATCATTCCCTTATACAAGCACCAAAATCCACTCTACCAGGAAAAAACGTAAACAATCTCTTTGCTGTAGCCCTGAGATGATTCTCTGTGTTCAGTACCATTTGTGAGATAAGTAGTTTAAATCTGATTTATTTAAATTTTGAAATATTTTTTTCACGGGTACTTTTCTAAGGAACTGTTAAACACTGCCTCTCAAAGATCTGGATTAAACCATGCATCATGTACCTTAGGTGAAGCAATTGGTTGAAAAAGACTTTTTGACTAAGTACAGATGGTCAAAAAGCCCCAGGTTGAATTGATTCAATCTTTGCAGGTTAGTCTAAACTCTGTAGATTGAACCAAGAAGCAAGTAAATACACATTCTTAAAATGCAGCCATATGCCTGCAGTGGCTCAGGCTAGAGCCTGGGGGTACTAGCGCAAACCTTCCCTTTGGCAGTGGCCAGAAGGCTGGAGGGAAGCTGGGAGAGAAGCATTTCAGACTGTTCCCACTCCCTGCATGAGCTGGGGTTGGGGGGGGAGGCATGGCCAGGCCCTGGCAGGCCTGCTGAGTATGATTGGGGAGGGGGGTTTAAACCCCCACGCTGGCCTGCATGGACCTCAGCTGGGATGTCCTGGGAGTGGGGAAGCTGCCCCTGCCTGTCTTTTCCTCTGCTCCCCACTGGAGTGGGAGGGTGTGTGTGGCTAGACCCCAGCCCAGGCCAGCATGCTGAGATGGATGAGGGGGGAGGGGGGCTTAAACCCCCTCACTCTCATTGGACCCCAGTAGGGGTCTGCTTGGCAGGGGCACAACAGCTCCTGCCAGGCTTTTCCTGCTCCCTGCTTGAGTGGAGGGGCTGGGGGCATGGCCAGACACTGGCCCCAAGCCAGCACACTGAGGCAGAAGGGAGGGAGAGAGGCTTTAAACCTCTGCTTCAGCATGACGGCCCAGAGCCGGCATCTGGCTATGTGGGGAGTGTGGAGCTGCACTCCTGCCAGCAGACCTGGGCTTGAGGAGGGAGAGGGGTTTCAACCCCCTCTCACTCCCCTCTGCCTCAGTGTGCCAGCCCAGGGCCAGCTGAGCTGGCAGCAGGGAAAAACCTGGCAAGAGTTGCTGTGTCCCTGGCAGGCAGACTGCATCTGAGGGACAAAAATGGGTTTTAACCCCCTTTCCCTCCCCTCTGACTCAGCATGCCAGCATGTGCCTGGCATCTGGCCATGCCCCCTCCGCTTAAGCAGGGAAAAGCCTGGCAGGGGCTGCTGTGCCTCCCTGCCAGACAGCCCTTTGCTGGAGTCTCACACAGTGGGAGAGGGCTTAAAGCCCCCTCTCTTCCTCTGCCTCATTCTGCCTGCCTGGCCCCAGGGTCTGGCCACCCTACTTTCTCTGCTCTAGTGGTGAGTGGGGGAAAAGACTGGCAGGGGCTGCTCCACTCTAGGCAGGCAGACCAGGCTGCAGTCTGGAGCCCTGTTTCCCACCCCCACCCTCTTCTAAGCCAGCTGGAGCAATGTTAGTGCTCCAGCTAGGGAGCAGAGGGGCAGGGCCAACCTTGCTCTCTGGAGCAGACAGCACAGCTCAGCCCAGGGCTGCAAAGCATCCTGGGATGCTGGGGGCTGTGAGTTGACTTGAACCAGGGAGGGGTCTGGGACAGAAGTTCTATAAAGCGGTTTGACCTAAATCAGTTAAGTCTGATACAGGCAGTCCTCGGACTTATGACACAATTGGTTCCTGAAAACTGCGTTTTAAGTCGAAACGTAACTCGGAACCAATTTTCACATAAGAAACAATGTTATAAATGCAGGATTGGTTCCTGAACCAAGGCCTGATACCCTATTTTCACCAAAAATACCCCAGAATTTTGTACTTGATCAATTATAGATGAGTAATATATCTACATTAATGTATCTTTTTCGTAAATAGCAATCATATTGATTTGGTTGCAGATCCAGGAGGAGCCAGGTAGGGTTATTTTGCCCCAGCTGGCACAATTTGCCCCAGTTTCTGGCACTACACTGGTCTGTGTACCAAAGTCAAGTTTAAATTAATAAATGTCACATTTGTTTTCACACCTGATAGTCTCTTTACCTTCTGGTGCAAAGTTGGTTATTTGTCCTGTAGAGCATTTCTGTGAGCTAATGGTAGGGTTGTTACCTTTTGCGCAAGCTATAGACACTCTGCTAGTATTCATTAACTCTTCTGGAGCAATGTAGTTCCTGTATCATTTTCCCAAAGGCCAATAATTGTCTTAGTTTGTGCTGTTGATCATGGTGTGTATAGCTCCCTTTGCTGTTTTGTGGACTCTAATTTTACCCTCCCTATGCGTTTCCACCTCAGGTCTCTGTTCCTGTTGCAGTTTGGATTCTCTATTATGATAACAGTGTTGAAGCATTGTCAACCCTTCAAGAACTTGTCTAAGCTAGGTAATTTACCTTTCTTGCCAAATTTTGATTGCTTTCTCAAGAGTTAACTCCAGGTCTTCCTTAAGTTTTTGTCCCCAGATTCTAATCACTAGGATGTCTCTTATAAGGGAGTTGGTTAATCTACCAAAAGTTCATGAAAAAGATAATGTTTTAAGTTTTTACCTTTTCCTTTTACTACTCAAAAGTTGAAATATCTCTCTCAGATATTTCAAATTGTATGTAAATTTCTATCATACAATTTCACTGTTAGCCTCTTCTGCTAAAGTCAACTGAACGCGGAGAACACAAAGTGCTTCAGAATCGGCTATTTCCAGAAAAGAAGCTGTAATTTTGTCTGTCTTCCTTTTCTTCTGGCACCCATTGCTTGCATATATGGAGTGCTGTTTAAACTTTTTCCAGTGATCCTTCAAATTTCCAGATATGTTCAGCTCTGCTGAGAACTCTAGCTGATCTATTCTTCCTCTCAGGCTATCTTCATACTTAATTCTGTGCTTAGTATCATCTGTTCTTCAGAAATCACTTTGTGCTAAGGATTCCAAGAGCAGTTCACTTCCTTAAGTACCTTGAATTCTAGGTGGTCAGCATTGTGTAATAAGTGCCTCCACTTTCCCCTGCTGCTTGCGCCCCACAGTTTGAACTGGCTGGGAGCAGAGCCCCTGCTGGGTGCAGAGCCAGTGTGAGTGGTGGGTGGGGGCACTGCGACTGCCAGGCACTCCGAGGCTGTGGTGTTCACTTTACCAGATCTTCCTGGGGGTGACATGGCCCTGCCATACCCCTGCATCCCCATTTGGCCACTGTCTCTTAGGATGCTGGTAGACTTCAACTTGGGCAAAAAAGCTGTGCAGACCAGCCACAAATTAATGGAATAGGAACAAAATTAGGTAGATTAGAGATGATCCTGCCCTGGAGTACTGTAAAGTTAAAATGAATAATGAGTGCTTTAAGACACTTAAGATGTTAATATGTAGTCAGTCTAGGGGTTAAGAGCTCCAGCAGCTACCTAAAATTACCATGTAACAAGACTCTTCTTTCTCGCTTTTCTTCCATCCTCTGGATCAAAACCACTTTACATTGAGCTCTACTCAGTGCCAGAGGTTCCCTCCAGTTCAGACAGGATTCTGCGCATTCCTCCTACCTTTCTACGTTCATGTTGAACGACTTCGTATAATTTTTGCATGCATTGTGGTACTGCCGCAGAGGGCAAACCCACTTTCTAGAGCTGTCTTGAATCTCATTATACAAATTCTTGGGGATACAGTCTTCTCCCATTCTCCTGACATAGCTAATCCATCGCAACCTTCTCTTCATAGTGGTTTCTAAGTGTGTCAGTCCTGCACCCTCAAGTACCTCTGTCTATTCCCACTTTATTTTCAGGATTTTAAACATGCAGGAATCTCACGTGAAGGGTGTTCAGTCTCTTTACGTGCCTGGCATGTTTCTGAACCACAAAGCGGGGTT